GCTTTGAGGTTGTGTCCAGGCTCACCAGAGGACTCCATTACCCAGGCTTATTTCCCACCCACCCACACCGAGGGTGTCTTGACTTTCCCACTTACTCCTTTGCTTCTCGTCCCTCAAGACTTTTGTGTCATGACTGAAAGAGCTCATAAGAGTGCTCCCCAGGCAAAGTCAAAGTGCAGGGAGCATGTGGGAGAGGTTATCAGAGGCACAGATAGGAGTTGGTAAAACCCCCCAAGACAAAGGCGTGCAGGTGAGTTCTTTCTTCAGGCCATGTGGGCAAGCAAGCAAACCCTGGGAGCGGGGCGCTCTCCCCTCTGCCAGCTTCCCCTCTGTGCCCGGAGCCTCCAGCATCTGTCACAGCAGTAGACAGAGAAGGTCACTCAAGCAGTTAAAATATAGAGATTCACAAAACTGGAATGGGAAGAGCACACGGGACTCTGGTGACGGCACACGGGTGAGAAGTGGTGGTGGGAAGCCCACGGGGATGACAGCTGAGATGAAAAAAGGCACAAAATGAAGAAGAATGTACAAAATGTATTTATAAAAGTTTTTTTAAAAAAGGAGATTCAGCAACAACCAGCATGAGTTTGGACACCAAGGGGGATTCTACACTCCTCCGAATGGCTCTAAGGGGCTCTTCCAGCCACAGTTTGCGTCTCAGCCCTGGCGGAGTATTGATTGCAGGCGAGCTTGAAGTCAACGCTGGTGCCCACGCCCCAGACCATTACAGGACCGCAGCTGACACACGGCGTCCATGGCTGCAGAAATTGCCCAGGGTTCAAGGCCAGCACAGAGGGGCCCCAGCAACAGGCGCAGCCAGCAGAGGCACCTGGAGGCTCCCCCCCCCCCCCAGCTTCTGACTTCCTAGGTCTGGTTGCGCCCCTGGATTTGCATTTCCAGCAGAGTTCCAGCAATGCAAACCTAGCTGGCCCCGGACCACACCTGTGGACTTTCTCGAGGCTCTCTTCTCTGCATGGCTCTGTGCTGGGCTGCCGTCTGGGGTGTCTCTTCCCAGCACAGTATCCTGTTGTCAGCCTGGCAATTTGAAATCCACAGTGGAAACTGGTAAAAGCTGCAAATCAGGAGCCCTCCTCCACCTGCGGCCAGTCATTCATATCCTGGGGTGCAGATCGGATCAGCAGCTGTTGCAAGAGCACCCACCAAGGTGTGGTGCACCCTTGGCTAGGGCAGGTCAGCCACCGTCCTCTTCCTCAGGGTTGAGATGCATCTGGGGTCTCACTGGTTGCTCACAATTTCCATGGAGGTGGCACAACGAAGTCTCCCATACAGTGCAAACAATTAAAATGTCCAGGAACACAAGCTCCAAACATTCAAAATAGTTTTCTGGTTTGAGTTAGTTAGTTCCCGAATCCAAATAAGTAACTATAAATGTTGCTGTTATTAAACATAGAAAGTACAGAGGCTCTGGGCAACGCCCGCATTGTAACTTGCCTCTTTGCCAGGGTGGGGCGAAGGAGCAGAGGGGGACACATACAAGCCCCGAAACTGCAATTCCTGCATGGAAGCTGACACTGGAAATCGCCTCTCTTTGCCCCGGGTCACTGCAGGAAAGATGGGGGGCCCGGCTCTTCCTCACCTTCCCGCTGCTGGCTCTGCTGTCTCCCCAGGTTTCGCTGCCCACATGCGTGCCAGAGCGTGATTGCAAAAGGCACTTGGAGCGTGAGCACGGGGTGTGGGCACGTGTAAACAGACACCTGGGCCGAGAAGTGAGGGATAGAGGAGGTGTGGGGGGGAGGGGCTCAGCTGCAGCCTGCGGCCTGCGGAGTCCCCTCCCCTGTTCAGCACTGGTGACATGCTGGTGATACCAAAGTCTGCAAGATTCTGTCTGCCTGGCGCCTGCGCAGTCTGGGATGGCTGCACAGCGGCCGTCATGACCCGGAGCCCCTGGAAGGTCTGGGTGTAGCCAGGTGCAGGCCGGGGTAACACCTGCAGTGCGTGTGGTGATGTTCACGCTGCCCTGGGCTTGGGCCTGGACGGCTGGCGCGCCCTGGTCACTGGGAGGTCAGGGCCAGCGGAGGGCCGGCTTGATGGCGGGAAGCCTCTCTCTGTGTGGCAGCACCTCCAACCTCCTCTTGCTGGGATGTTGTTTTCCACAAGTAGCCAGAGCCTGCGACCCGTCTCGAAACACCCTCTCAGGCATCCGGACTGTGGAAGACTTGCTGTGTTCAGCCAACTTTCCTGTTTGGGCCACTCAGGAAATCGCTGGGATCACATTCTTGTCCAGACAGTCAAAGACCAGGAGAGATTCTCTTCTGACCTTGTGTTGACTACCCACACCACCCCGAGGTTTTAATTTGGGCCGGGGGGAGTCGGGCAGGGCTGTGATGACTGGGGCAGGTGGGGAGCCTGCAGCCTGCCATCACCTTTAGCAAGCCTTCCTTCGGCCCCCCCGACTTGCAGAGCACACTCTGACCTTCCGAACTGAGTGGAGAATGGCCATGAACTCTGGAAGTGGCGCACGACGGCCCGCGGCCTTCCCAGCCGGGGCCAGAACCACGAACCACGCAGGCGCTCGCACGCAGAGTGAGAGTCTGCCTGGGAGTGTAAAGCTGCTCTGACTGTCTCTCTCGTTTCTTCACAGTGAAATGCAAGATGGAAGATGATGAGGGGGCGTCGGCGGCGATCCCCCCGCTTTAAAGGGCTCTTGCCGACTCTTCCCCTGTCGTGCCAAGCAGACCATGCAGGAAGGTGGCCACAGCCTGCTTGTGCTGTGTGACTCGGTCCACGGGGACACGGACTCTTCCCACACAGCCTAGAATGTGTAGCCGACAGGCCTTAGTGCAAACAATACAAAATAGTTCCAGTTTTTAATTTTTCTGCACTTCCCTCAAATTTTATTCTTTCAACCATGTATTTCTTCTGGAGCATTTTCCACCAAACAGCTGTAGTTCCTCAGAGATGAGGTGCTGGAGTTTCCACTTTGGGCCAGCTCTGCAAAGACCTGTTTTTAAATTCAAGTCCCCAAATCTGCAGTGAGGACTTTTTTTGTGAAACAGACAATAGCTCCCCCCACACCCCCCCCAACCCTCCCGCCACTTCCAAAGGTGACCGGCCCTTCATTTTTATTGCAAACCCACAAGATGAGACATTTAGCCCAGACAGAAATCATAGACAAAGGGTTTTTGTTGCCTAGGCCCCAAAGTATTATAGAAAGTTCCTCATTTGATGGGTAACTTATGACCCTCATTTGTTCTGCGGTTGGCTGTTAACCAGAACTCCCCCATTCACAGTGCCACAGACTAAGCCTAGGAGCAGACGGAAAGCTAGAAGTTACTCTGGGCTGTTTGGACAAGTTACCACACGTCTTGAGTAAATAGTAAAGCCTTTATTTTTGTGTTAAGAACAGCATTTTGAAAATGAAACGTATCTGCCCATGCTTTACAACCTTTTAAATTTGTAATATTTATATACAATCATTTGTGATATACATTGATTGTCTTCAGATTTCTTTTAACTTTTTTTTTTCATTTTATGAGAATGCAACAGTCAGCCAGGGGGAGGATAAAGGTACATTATAAAACACACATTAATACATTTAATAAATATATATTATCTATCAAAACCGAGCCTTAGCTCTTTCTCAATGAATAAAAAGCACCGGCCGAGAACCCGGGAAGCTGGTGTGATCGCTGCATCATCAGCTGGCAGGAGCTGCGATGCTCCCTGGCAGACTGCGGTTCCACTCAGCCTTGGCTAAGCCAGAAGACCACCCCAACTTTACCCTTTTCCAGGGAGCCCTGCCAGAATCTCTGCTAAGAACACAGACTCCAACAACCCAATCTAAAGCCCAAGACCCAAGACAGAACGTTCCAGTCTGTCGGTCCTCCAAGCCGATGCCCGCACTCCCCGCCCTCCGGTCCAGTGAAGAAATCCCGACCAGAACGAGCATTTGTGATCAAAAGGGGGCACACGAGCGGCTGCTGTAGTTGGAAGGTGATTGTAGTCGCTGGGACACCGGGAGACTTGTGCTTTCAGACGGGTATTTTGATCACATAGCCTCTCCTTCAGCCGCATTTCCCCCAACAAGTCTTGTTTACAGAAACAGCTCTTCATCAGAGGCGCCATGAACTTCGTATTTCACTTTGCTCCGTGGGGGCAGCTGGCTGCCAAGGTCTCTTGGCAGAGGTGTCTCTTTGTACCTTTCAGGTGAAGTTCTTAGAAAAACAACAGCTCCTGCCCTACGCCCTCTCTCCACCTCCCCCTGGATCCTGAGGGCACGCGGCCTACTCTAGACCTTAAAGCCAAAATAAAGCAAAATCCACAAGCGCAGTGAAATATCGGCAACAGAAATGAAAAAGGTCTCATTAAGTGGGGCTCCCCAAGGCTCCGAGCTGGCTCCATCTCGCAGGCGGTGAGACGCACTTCCCAGTGACAGCCACACACGCTGCGCTCACCTTACGTGCCTGGGCCACCAAGAGCTGGGAGAGACAGCGATGCAGAGAATCGCTCCCTTCTGCAAGGGGGGCTCTCGCAGACCGAGTCACGGACGGTATCAGAGAGCGCCAAAGGACTCCAGAGAGCGGGGCTGAGCAACCATCTCCTGGCACGAGAATGTGTAACGCTGTGTTTTTCGCCGGACTGGACTGAGGTGTTGGGTGAGTTCTCTATTTGCAGAAAACTTAAGCGTGCATGCCACCCCCACCCTAGTCCTGGCTTCTTTCTCCTCCCTCCCCAGGACTTTCTCCTCCCTCCCTAGGTGTGCGGTGCTCCTCAGTGCTCCCAGCACGGAGGGCTGGAGTTTGATTCTCTAGAAGCAAGCACATGCTCCAGGCAGGGGCAGGCGGCTTCCCGGGGCTCAGGTAGGGCCAGCGTGTGCATGCCGTCCGCCCCCCAGCGTGGCCGATACAGGGAAAGCGCTAGCCAGCGGGAAGGCGCGAAGAAGGAGGGTCACGGGGGGCATGGCTGATTGGCCTTGTTCCCCAGCACTGGGCAAGGATGCGGGAAGGGTGAGACGGGACACAGCAGACTAGGGCCTCGAGAAAAATCAGAAGGTTTATTAAGACATACTCAGCTCTGACATATTGGCTTATGAAGAGGTCAGTTCCCCCTCCCCCAAACACTAACCTTTTTCATTTGCTTTAAAAGGTTAAAGGCTTATGGGTTGTTTTATAGAAAAAAAAAAAAAAAGCAATATAGTCATTAGAATAGACGCTAAAGGTCGCGCCCTCACTTAGACATTCCATGCCGTCAGGTTAGAACTCCTTGCTTGGATCGGTATTAGCAGTTATGCTGGCCAAACAGTGCAGAGGAGGACATGGGCTTTGATGGCCGAGATGTTCGCGATGTCAGATAACAGAGGGATGATTTGCTGAGGACAGATGGAAACTGTGACAGGAGCGATGGGCTTTGAGGAGGAACTTACTCATGGAACTTGCAGTAAACCAAGACAGAAGTGCTCCCCAGATCACACTCCCCAAAGCAACAACCCTTTGTAGGCTCCACCCCACTCTGGAACTGTCGCTATCCAACCATCCAAGCCCTATCAGCCGGGCCAGGCTGTGGGTGACATCTCTCCACTCTCAGGGCACCCACCCGGTGACCCATCTAGAGACCATCACAGGAGGCCTGCCCCGGCGCCTGCCTCCGGCCGCCCACCCAGGAGGGCTTCAGGCTTCCGTCACTTGGGCAGGGGCTTAGAGAAGCACTGGTCAGTGCAGGGAGAGGAGACGATGAAGGGGCAGGGGCAGGCTGCGGGCTCGCTCAGCCAGAGAGGTGCTGGCTTTCCTGCCATAGATGCGGGAGCAAAGCCCCATAGAAGGGATGGTGGCTGGTCACCACCTTCTCATTGCCCTGGTTCCTACACCTCCCAGAGAGCCTGCCCTTCTTTGGCACATGCCAGGGCCCCACCACCACTGCTTGGAAGCTTACCCCGTGACTCGGTTAGACTCCACCTGGGAATCAACACCCACAACCTCCTGAAGTGTTCCTGACCCCCCTGAAATGTGCAAACCAACAAGCAAGGTAGTGGAAAGGTCCCCAGTGCTCCTCAGTGAGACAGTCGTCTCCAAGAGACGGCCGGGGTGGGGTGATGGTGGTGTGGGGCCGGCCAGAGTCTACCAACACCAGCCAGGCCCACCAGCCGTGAGCGTGGTTCCGTCCTACCCCCAGGAGGCGGAAAAGTCTTCCCAGCCACGCTTTCCAGTGAGCCTAACACTATTTGCAATTAGCTTTGCTTTAGTTTGCGGGGATCGAGGTTGGTTTGGTATTACGTGTGTGTGTGGAGGGCAGTCGGTGTTAGCTTTTCAGTTCAGCAGTGTTCACATTTACACGAAATCCCCTTGTCTAGGGTTTCCAAAGCTCCTGGTTGTGAGGCGGCCTGGTTCGGCTACTGTGACTGATTTCTCCCTCAACAAAGACACAGCCAGGGAATAAAATCGGTAAGAGAGATTCTTATTCTCTGGAACTTAAGTCTTTCACCAGAGGTGTCGTCCAGTGTAACTTGGCGGAGCGGTGGGGATCTGGAAACAAGGATAACACACTAAGAACTCTGTGCTGGCGAAGTCAACCTAGAAACCAAGTTTAATTAGCACACCAGTTACGTCACCCTACTTTCTCCTAGTGGACAGAGTCATTTCCAAGGAGAGCAGCTATCGTGCTCGGCCGCTCCGTCCTGGGGAAGGTCATCTCCCTTTGCTGGCCTTGTGGACCCAGGGTGAAAAGTCTTCCCTACCCAGAAACCCACTGCCCATGCTCACCGGCCTAGAAAGGACCACCAGGGCTTAACAGCAATTGGAGGAGGGGCTGCTCTTCCACATACTGGCCATAACGCACAGGCTGAAGGCTTTTTCTGGCACCCAGAAGGCCCAGGGAGGGCAAGGGGGCTTCAGAATGCCAACCTATGAGTCTGTCTTTGAGCACATGGCAACGCAGGGCCACAGTGGTAGAGCCGGGCCTCGCCTACCCTTTGAGAGGCAGACACCCAAGTTCCCTCCTGAGATCCAAGAGCATCCCTGACTTACGTTGAAAATAAAGAGAGAAAGAGAAAAAAGCTCAGGTTGAGTTATGGAATCAGCACATGATACAAAGGATGGAAAGCCAGTACGGCCGACGCGTCGTTTCTGGAAGAAGCATGAAGCCATGTTTGGAAATTAAATGTGGGAATGAGCGCGTGTCTTTGGATTGCTGGAGAAACAATGATGTCACTGCACGGAGGGAAAACAGAAAGGATGACAGTTCTGCTCCAGGTCTGTTTGGCATCAGCTAGTAACCCTCAGATTGCACAGTCTTCATTCTGGGAGGGCGTGAGGGGGTCACTTCAGTTTTGACGACCTCTTTGGGGGAGTCAGGGTGGGAGGGCCCAGCACCAACTGGGGCGCAGGGAGGGGCCAGGTGGGGGGGTGTGATCAACTAGGTTGGGTGGTTGCAAAGATCTGCCGTGATTTCCCCATTCTGGGCTTTTTCTGAGAGAGCAGGGGGGTACCTTCTGTATAATGGGAGGGAAAGAAATCATGGTACCAGGTCCCCCGCTCCCCCCAAAATAAGGACTCTTCCAAATGATTCCATACATGGTGTTAGTGGGTCTTCTGTGTGTGGAGAAAGGGGGAGCAGAGAAACAAGAAAACCGGAAGCATCGCATGCATTCTAGCTGCAGGGTGTCGACTGGGCCCCACGGCCTCTGCAGACCCCTCAGCAGCCTCCACCGAGCAGCGTGTCCCGTGGCAGCTCCCCGACAGGGGCGCGCTGAGCCCGCTGCCCGCACATCACCTCCTGATACTTACGGTCCCCCCGTTGAGCACAACTGCCATCTCGGTGGGCTGATACACGTTGCTTCTGAACGGGGCGCTGGGTCTGTTCCCCAAGCTGCCGTTACGAAATCCTGCGGTGCGGAGGGCTGGAGGAGGCCGCCAGGAGCAGGACACAGCAGCAGCAAAACAAGACACAGTTTTGTTTTCTTCTCCTGCATCCACATCATGCTCTGGGCACACATTCCCCGCCCCCTCCCCACTCCTCTCCTTTGTCACAAGCTGATTCAAAACAAAAGTCACAAAGGGGCTTTGTTCTCTGGCTCTCTTGGAGCCTGACCCCTGTGCTCCCTCTGTGGGGTTGGAAGTGTGCAGAATCCAGGGCACAGGCTGCTCTCTGGGGGAGGAGGCCCAGGGCTGGGGCTCCACTTGCCCCTCCCCCCCCACCAGGCCCCAGCAGTGGGGGGTGAGTGGGGAGGGAGGAGGGACAAGAAAGCACCCCTCAGAAGGTCTCCCTGGACAAAGGACCTCCTCACGACAGAATGCCAAGTCTGTGAGGTCCAACACCACACACGCACCCGCGGTGGGCTGCTTCTGGACACGCAGAGCTGGGGAATCCTGACAGCAGAGGTTGTCTCCATGGGAAAATGACTGGGAAGAGGGCAGAGAGGACCCCAGTCAACGGGGAACTTCCAAGCAGGGAGAAAGTCTGCCCTGAAGGAAAGGTGGCAAAATCTGTCCATACTTTTCAGCTCTGGTAGGGAAATGACATTTCTTCTTTGCTGTGTACATTTAGAGATCTGAATTTCCTTTTTTTTTTTTTCTGAAGGGAAACCAAATGACATAAAATGACAGAGGGAACTTAAATGCATATTGCAAAGTGAAATAGCCTCTTTGTGACCCCAACTATAATATTCTGGACAAGGTAAAGCCATCACAGTAAAAAGATGGGAGAACACTGGGTTTGGGGAGGAAGGGAGAAGCTTCGGGCAGCGAAGCTGTTTCCTGTCATACTACAATGAGTCCTGCTCTCCCAGACTCACAGAGTTGCCCACATGTGACCTTTAAAGTGTACATTAGGGCGGGCCTGTTGGCGCAGCGGGCTGGAGCGCTGCACTGCGAAGCCAAGCCAAGCTGCGGCCACTTCAGTGCGAGTTCGATCCCTGCCCTGCAGGTGACCCACATGGCGTAGTGGGCCTCTCCTGTCTCCCCGCTGCTCCCCTCAGCAGTGCACTTTGTCGATCTGCCAGTTCTGCTCCCTACTCTCTGGTGAATCCCCTTGCTACCCCTCTGCCTTTGGCCTGTACCCCAGTTCTGTCTGCATACATAAGTAAAATGTTTAAATAAATAAAGTGTACATCATGGAATCTAGTTAATAAGAGTGTATCGAAACTGATTCGCCAACAGGTGTAGGAACTCTGTACTTCCTATGGGGTTTTTCTGCAAACCTAAAACCTCTCTAAAAATAGTCTATCAAAAACTATAATGTGCAAGATCTAGCAAAACCAAGCAAATCAAAAGTCTGTCTCGTTGTGGGATGGTGTCTTCACTATCTTCATTCTCATCAAAAGCACTAAGCTCGCTTGGCTAAGAAAAGCTTTTCTTAATCTCTTTCCTGAAAGGAGTCGTTTATCTGGGTAAAAAGAAGCAAGAGAGCTTGAGATGTTTACAAGTTACTTGAGGCTGAACCAAACTCACCCGAGTAACACATTAACCGAGAGCGAGGTCTTAGGAGGAGCCAGGCACAGTGAAGAGTATAAATACTGACTCAACTTTCATCGCTCAATAGGGACGGAAGTATTAGTATTTCGACTTTCCATGGGGCACAGAGAGATCAAGTAACTTGCCCGAAGTCACACAGCTGGTAAGTGGCAAAACTCACTTTGGAACCCCAGGCAGACCATCACCGGCTCCCAAGATTACTTGCAGCCATTAATTCCTGGGAAGTACTTGCATTTAGTGACACTTGGGCAGCTCGAGCCAGGCTGGACCAAAGCCATTGAGGTAGGGTGGGCAATGGAAGTGCCAGGGTGTGCTTAGGAAAAGCCCAAGCCTTCAAGCAGCTCTTATGCGCGCTCTGGGCAAGGAGACGGCCTTCCTGGGGTGGGAGGTGAAAAGCGGGTGCGAGAGCAGTGCCCAGGGATGTGGAGACAGTCCCTGCACCCTGAGGAGTCTCAGTTCCTAGCCCATCAGCACAGTTTCACCCACATGGCAGAGACCTGCCAGCTGTGGAGGGGAAATCTGGCTCGGACACATTCTCCCCAAGAAACAAAGGCTCGTCTGTACCCCGCATCCTGGGGTGCTTTGGCCCCTGGGTCCTTCTGTTGTACTGTGGCAAAATCTTGCCTCTTGCCTCTTGCCCTGCATCCTCTCAGCCCTGCCTGCCTCACCTCCCTCACCCCACCCCCAAACACACACTCTCTAGGCCGCTCAGTCTTGATACAAGGATGTGATTTTAGACTTGGACAATCAGGGCTTCACACCTCCCTGGCCACCGACTGTTTCAGAGAAGGGGATCAGGTCCAGCCATTGGTAACCCTGGGTCTTTGCTCGAGCGTTCCAGAAAATGTTCCTCTTTTCTACTGGGACTCTGAGAATCTAGAGCATTGGGCTGCTCTGATGCTAACAGTCAAGAGATAGAGACCAAATCTTGTCATCGCTTGAACCTCCTAGATCTAACCGATCCTGAAGCCTGATCTCCAGTACATTCTTTTATTGTTCTTGTATGAGGTTTTTTATTCACTCGAACCAAGTAAAATCCTCTTTATTTTTAAGCTATTGATAACTTCAGGAATCCTAATGCCCCACCCCGACTGGGTCAGCTCTGGAACGCAAGCAGGGCTGATGCATCAAGGGAGCCCCACAGAAGTCAGAGTTCATAGGGTAAGTGCCAGCTTTCTCCTGCCCGGACTCCGTAAGTCAGGCTAGAACGGCTTAGCCCCAAAGCCCACTCGGGCCCTTCCAAGTGGAAGCTAGGGTCAGAGTCTACCCCTGAGCCCCAGTGAGCCCTGAGAGGCCAAATCCTCTAAAGGGAGGAAGCAGCCTCTTCTTCCCTGCCCCTCGGAAGGGGAACATGCACTGCACCTTGTTAACGCTCTCCAAGATGTGACCTGAGGTGCTACTTCCTCCGGAGTATTTTCATCCTTTATCACATACCTCATGCCTTGTTAGGGTTACGAGTGAAACTGTATAGTTCTGGGGTCTTGCTTGGGGGATGGAAAGATGGGGGCAGAGGCTGCTAGGGCCTGGCTGAGCCACAGCCAGCCTGGGGAGTTCCCTTCCCACCTCTTGAAGATGACAGGCAGGAGAACCCCCAGGCTGGCTGGCTAAGAGGAAGGGAGAAAGGCCACCCACAGCTGCCGGGCGAGGCTCCTCAAGGGTCCAGTTCCCACGAGCACACGCTGGTAGAGGCCAAAGAGCATGACAGCTGCTCTCACGGTGGCAGGGCCATGCCCAGGCGTCCCCTCACTAAAGCGAGCAGTCCTCGCTGGGGTGCCATCAGAGCCCCACTCTGCACCCCCTGAGGCTCCTGAGGGCCGCCCCGTCTGACCCCACGTGAATGCTGGTGCTCACTCACTGGGGCAATGTGAAACCAGGCCACTAAGATAAATAGATCTGACAGCAACGGTCTTCATACAGTTATTCAGGGAGCAGCATATCCGTCAGTATTTTAGGGCTGTATCTGGGGTGTCTATCGAGGTAGAAAAGTGAGTTCTTTCTGACTCGCTGTGTCCAGTTATATTTTTGTCAGGAGTTCATTATCGAAAGCACAAAGAGGTGAACGGGGAAGAATGTTTGTTGCAATCCTGTTTGCAGCGGAAACCCAGGCACAAGCAGAACATTCTCTAGCAGGAGATGAGAAAACATGAATGATGGTGCATCCTGCAGACGACACGGTGCTGCGGCCTCCCGCAGTGGGACCCTGGACGCCTCCGTGCCTTCTGGGTGTGGGCTGAGCAGGGCGCTGCTGGGGTCACCTGTGCTCCCCCCACGCTGTCCGCTTACACCTGCACACCTGTCCTGTGCACCTGCACAGGTGTCCTGTTTACACCTGCACACCTGTCCACTCGGAGGCGCTGGTCACTTGAAAAAGCTGCCAAAGTGTTTGTAGCGGGCAACAGAGTTGACCCCCTCTGGGGTTGCTGGGAAGGGGAGACTGGGCTCGCTGCTCAGGAGGGGGGTCTGCAAGGCGGGGTGCCTGTCAGTAGTGGGCGGCGCCAGGGGCTGTGAGCAACTTCTCTGATTTCACTTGCTGGCTCTTCTGTAGGGTTATTGTGGCTCTTTTATCATCAGAAAGGAATAATAAAATGATGTTTTGTTTTGGGAAAAGCAGGAGCGGGAAAGACAACTGACTTGGCTTTGGAATATGTGAGTGTGAAGAAGGGGGTGTGGGGCACCTCTCAGAACCCCTGCACCCCCTGAGCCACCCCCGACACGGCTGGGTCCCTGATGCCTTTGGCCACCAGGTATATCCTAGCCTGCAATAGCGGCTGCATTTTCACAAGGCTGCGCGTCACACATGGGAAGGCAGCCGCCCTCTCTGCTCTGTGCGCATCCTCCAGGGGAACTTGAACTCCTTCCCTCCCCTCCACCTCAGTTGTCTGTAAAATGGGCCTGATGCTCTGTCTGAAGGGCAGCACTGTCCTGACTCACAGGGACCCTAGAAGGGAGTGATGCTGCGGCAGTGTCGGGCATGTGGACCAGCCTGCTTGGGTCTGAACCCCAGCTCTGCCTCTCGGGCAACTTGTGCATCAGCTCTGTGCCTCTGTTTCCCACCTGCAGGATGGACCTCGCCAGGTTACTGTAGCACTAAATGAGAATGGTCGCTAAAGTGCTCAGAACAATACCCGGTCCGGGAGGTTAGCTGTCTTTGCTTTCATAGATGCTAAGACTGGGGCGTTATGCCCCCCCCCCCCATTTCACTGCAAGAAAACTGACCACCAGTTTCAGCAACGCTGGCTCTTGACCTTCTAGGGGTCCCAGATGGACTTTGAGAATCTGAAGCGATAGACCAATGTCCCTGAGAAACATGCATGTGCAAGAGACCTGATGACCTCGAGCACCAGGGGATTCCAGGGTCCTCAGCTACAGAGGATCTTGTGCCAGAAGGAATGGGGAGGAGCTGGCTCCACTGGGCCCCCAGCAGCTGGCCAGGCTCCTGGCCTCTGCTCATCAGGGCTCCGGAAGGATCCTCTGGACTCCCCATGATGACCCCTGTCCTGATCCCATCTTCTGACAATCTGGAGATCCAGCCGCACCAGGGCCACTGCCTTTCCCTGCCAAAGCCCGGCCAGCCCCTGACAGGGCCTTGCCAGTGGTGAGGGGGAAGCCCTGTTCCGACTGGGGCCAGGGGTGCTCCCTTCATTGGAAGCAGAGATGCAGGAGGCTGGGGCCAGGGGGAGGGCGGTGGAGCCTTGGAGGGTACCCCTGGATGCTGTCCTGTACCCCTGGCCTGGCCTGGAGGGGATGGGCAGGTGCTCTTGGCACTCCACCCCAGAGCCTGGAACGGCCACACACGCTCCCTGTCTCTGGGCAAGTAATGGAAGCTCTTGCAGCCCCCACTGAGTCATCTATAGGATGGCGACAATAATAGCACCTCTGGATTTGGTGGGGGGAAAGACTAATAAGATAATGCAGATTAAGGACTTAGAACAGGGCCTGGCACTTACTGTTAAATACTAACAACCGCTGCTGTTATTGTTATCAGTACTGGGGCCTCTGATTCATCTTCAGGTGACCGAGAATAGGCGATTTTATTTAACCTCCAGTGCTAGGAAATTAGCAGACTCACTTTGAGTCCCTCAGGGGCACCTCTCAGTCATCTAGGGAGAGGATCCCATCCTCTCGGCTCTCTTGCAGTTCTGCTGCAGTCGTAGATGACAGCTCTGTGTACCCAGAAAACCTGCACCCCAAGAGTCCCCAGTCCCTGCTTTCCTGCCACAGAAGCCAATGGAACGTATTCAGCACCATTTCCCCGGGGAGTGGGGGCAGTGGTGGGGGGTGGGGCACAGATGCGAAGCGGCCTCCTGGGGACTAGCCCCACCCAGGGTGCCCACAGAGGTAGCCGGCTCATTAATGCCTTTGTTTTGGAGTCTGCTTCCGGGCTCACTGTCAGGCCCTGACTTCTGCAGGAATCACCTTCCAAGGACACCACCTGCGCACCAGGTCTCAGGCTTTGCTCCAGAGGACCCCACGGAGCGGGCACGGGTCCTTAGGCCGCAATCAGGCCATTAGCGCTCACAGCCGCTCTGTGGGGTGCATTTTCTCATTGTTTCTATTTTACAGATGAGAAAAACAGGCTCAAAGAGGAAAAGTAATTTGCTGGAAGTCACAAGTCTAGGAAGTGACAGGCAGGATTCGAACCCTGATACCTACCCCTGGGCCCAAATTTACACACTCCTGGCAAAGGAGTGGGGGGTGGGACAGGAGCACTGTATTGCCTGCAACCAACAGATCCACAGGCTACAAACGCACTCAGAGAGGCATGTTAACATAATATGTTCTAGAGGACAGGTCGGGGGGCAACAGGGAATAGTGGGGAATGTGGCAAGCAGAAACGGGGCCCATCAAAAGGGGCAGCCACAACTTGGGGAGAGGGGAGAGGCAGGCCCCTCCAGCATACACCCACTGGGTCAAGTCTGCCCAGATAATTGCTGCCCATGGGAATGTAAGTCCAGCCCAGCATTGCCAGATCTGACTTCAAAGCAGCCAGAAACCTGGACTTTTATTTTAAATTAGTGAGCAACTGATAAAACAAAATGCTAGATAAAAATCTCCCTCTGGGATCATGCTTAGTGAAACAAGCCAGAAAGAAGAAAAAAAAATACCGGATGGTTTCACTCATAGCAGGAGCATAAAGGATCAGGGGGAAAAAATAATAACGAACAGCTATATACCAGAGCCATTTGACGGGGTGGAGTGGGGAGTGGGATTAGAAATAGGGGCGGGGGTGTCCACAGGACTATGGTGATGGCACACGGGTGAATTGGTGATGGGAAGCCCACGGGGATTACAACTGAGACGGGAAAAGGCACAGAATGATGTAAAAATGAACTATTATATTAAAAAAAAAGTCTCCCGCTGGGCCAGTTTTAGCATGGGGGTCAGCAGCTGTGGGCGCTGATCTGCCCCTCGACCTCAGCCCAGAGAACCGTCCCGCGCCCCAAGCAGCCGCGCGACGCCCCTCACCTGCGTTGTGCTCATCCATGGAGAAGGCCTTGTTCTCCATGTAGGTCCGCGGCAGCTGCACATCCTCCTCGAAAGCCGTCTCCCGCATCCGCGGCTGCGACGTGTCAAAGTAGTTGGGAGTGTTTTCTTGCGGGGCGGGCAGGATGGCGCAGTGGATCTCCGGGATGGCGTGGAAGATGACGAAGACCCAGCCGCTGGCCACCAGCGTGATGGCCAAGGTGGGGTCACCCCAGGCCTCTCCCTGCCGCAGCTGGGCGTTGCCGAAGAGGTACATGGTCATCCAGGCCACCCAGATGAGCACAGACAGGAAGGCGGTGACCAGGATGCAGGCCCCATTGTGCTTCCACTTCTTGAACTTGCCGCACAGCGTGAACAGGGCCAGCCCCAGGGTGGCCACGAGCAGGACCATGTCGTAGATGAGGGCCATCACGAAGTCCATGGGCTCGTAGGCGCAGGCCGGCTTGGCGTCCCGCAGCACCGTCAGCACCAGCCACTCGATGGCGATGATCACCTGCACCAGCATCAGACACAGCGCCACGCCCACCAGCTGCCAGCCCGACGGGCTCTTCCCGCGACGCACCAGCCTGCGCACGCGCCACGCCTGGCTCAGCAGGCACGAGAAGCAGAGCGCGAAGAGGACGCCCCAGAGGAACCTGCGCACGGAGCAGATAGTCTCGTCCTCCCGGATGATGAAGGCGAACGTCAGCCCGAAGAGGCCCAGGGTCCCCAGGAGGAAGAGGAAGTGGAGCCCCACCGGGTCCTTCTTCTCCTTGTCCTTGATGAAAGGCAGCCGCACCAGCAGGATGAGCATCAGGAGCAGCGTGATCAGGGCGCCCGCCCCAGCCACCGCCTCCACCACGATGCCCCAGATGGTGTCCAGGTCGCACAGGGACACGTACTGAGGGAGGAGGTCCAGTCCGCAGCCCCGGGACGTGCTGGCGTTCTCAGAGGCCCCGGAGGCGATCACGGAGAGCAGGAGGAAGGCGAGCACCTGGTGGGCTCTCATCTTTCTCTCTGACCCCAGCAGGTGGCAGACGGGTCCTGGTGGGGGAGACGGAAGGAAAGAACAATTCACCTTAGAACTCCTAGTCTTGACTTCCTTAAGCAAACCCACCTCCTTCAAGCCTGCTAGCCAGCGTGGCGGCCAGGGTCACCGCCAGGAGAGGCACCCCTTCCTCACCTAGCCCTGTCTGTCCTTGGTGCGTGTCTGAGGGGTGGGTCCAGCTCCCACCCGCGCCCTTAGCCCAGAGCCCATGGGTCATCACTAAAGGCCAGAGGGCAAGGTCAGGGAGAGGTACTTTGTCTGTACACCTTTCGTATTCTTCGGATTCTATATGCTTGGCTGTGTCGGACCTCTTGCAAAATAAGGGAATAAAATAAAACTTGAGAAAGTGGGTCATGGACCAGGCACGGCGCTGAGAGACGGGCTCAGTGTTTTAAGCTCAGTGGCACCAGTCACCATTACTGACAACCCTGGGTCAGGCACTGGACATGTCCAGTCGTCACATCACTAACCAACAGGGTCCCTGGAGGTCAGGACACCTGGCCAAGGTCACGCAAGCCAACACATTATACCATGAAGTGACCTCTCCTAGGCTCCACCCTTTCTCTCTCTCCTCACCCCCACCCCGCTCCCCCAGGGCCTTCCTAGAGCCCCTCCTTTCCCTCCCACCACCAGTCCATCTCTTCCCAGGGAGCCTGGAGGACTCTCTGGGCCTTCTGGTTTCCACGCACACTGGACTCGGCACAGCAGCTGCGGTGACGGGCCCACCTAAGCCTCTCTCTTGCCCTGGCCAGCTCCTCTGTTCAATAGTCCTCTGACCCCTGGCAGAGAAAACTCCTGCCTGGTGTCTCCTCTCAAGCCCTCCGCTCTGGCCTTGGCCAAGGTCATGCCCCACTCCTCTCCACTTGGGCCTGTTTCTTCGCTCTAACCCCACCCCCGCTTACTCTGTTTCCTTTCCCTCCTTCCTGGCCTCCTCTGTCGTTAGTCGTGGGACAGGGCACTGTCTTGTTCCTCGGGCAGTTTGGGAATCACTGACTCGGGTTCCCCTTCCTTCTTTGTGGAGGCATGGGCGGGGGGTGTGGGGGTGTGGGTGGAGAGGAGCTGCACAGTGTGGGGTATTTAGCAGCAGCCCTGGTGTCCACCCACTAGATGTTGTATAGCCCTCCCCCAAGGGCGTCATCCCAAAAGGCCTTTACGCAGATGTCTGTCTGTCTCCTGGGGGAGTGAGGTGACGGATGAGTGCTCTGGGGTGGACTCCAGCACGGCACAAAGTAGGTGCCCAGTAAACACGGATGGACAAGAGGCGCCCCTCCCCCCCCACCCCCCATCCCACAGCCGCCAGCTTCCTGCCCTTGAAGGCAGCCTGGTCTTCAGGAAACATCAACCTGGACAGTTCTGCCATGATTGCTGGGTATCTCAAACTGGGCCTGAGGCCTCAGCTCTACCCACCGGTGAGGCGTAAGCAGCCACCTCTTGCAGAGCCAGCAGGCCCCTGGGGCTTCCTTAAGTAAATGCGGTATCGACCACCTCTCTGCTCCTTTATGGGATCCCATGGGCGGTGCTGACGCTGCCTTGGCTGTGAGGCCATCGACTGGGATAAATTATTGATGTCCTTGAATGAGCAGCCTGGGTCTGTGGGGACCGGCTCCTCTGCCTACAGAGCAGCATAGGCAGGCTCAGAGTAGAAGGCATTTGGCAAGGGATGCTCTTCTGGGAGCTTCCCAGCATCCCGCTCGGCAAGCGAGGGGCAGTGGTACCCACGCCAGTCACTGGTACTACTCAGTTACTGATGCCGTGCCTACACGTCACCTGTGCTATTTATTTAACCGACTCACCAAGTCCTTGGAATCTACTCACTTAAATACCCCTCTCTTGGAGGTTTTTAGATTGCTGTAACTCGGGTGGCATGCTTATTGGGCATACCCGTGCATCCACCCTTTAGGAAAATACTGTCCTCATCGCAGCTTACTACAAGGTCCTGTAAGCAAACTGGGAGTCAAGAGAAAGGAGCCAGAGGCATTGGGACAAAATGCCATCAGCTCCCTGCCCACGCATATTCCTCCCTGGATTTTGATCCCCAGTGGGTACTGGGCCAGGTCTAGAGACATTATTGCTTATTAACTGGGGATGCTGCTAACGGATAGATTCTGGGGATGATCCTAATAGACAGGACATCCTCCCTGCTACTCCCCAAAACAGGGAATTATCTGACACGAGATGTCAGTGCCAAGGCTGAGAAGGCCTAAGAGCAGAACCCATGGCCACCTTGGCCTTTGCAGCTGCCTCCACTCACTCCCTTGGGGGAAATTTCCTCTCTCCAGGCCTGGCTGTGTTTGGTCTCCCCTGCTCCTCCCCGCTCCTGATTGGGCTCCCAACCACAATGGCACACCAATGGGGATGATGAAAACACCAAGATGGCGGCCAAGCTTCTGAAAGTGTGCAGCAAGCCCCTGGCGGGGGTCCAGGCTCACTCCTTTTTGACAGGGGAAATGGATACACTCTGCTTTCTGCTTTCATTCCTGAGGGTGGACACTTTCTTTCCAGGACAGCTGCTGTTTGTGTTGCCCAAAACTGCTCCCAGTTCTGAAAAGAGCTGCAGACGGTCCTTTAGCGAGCCACCTGACCCAGCCTGGCCAATCAGGGCATTTATGCTGGCCTTTGGCCACAGCGACCGTCTCAGGGAAAGGCACACAGCCTGCACCAGACATGAGAACCAGTCCTAGGGTTTTTGCTGGAGCTTACTGGGCCTTCTCTTTTTGTTTGGGTTGACAAGCTAAAAGGAAAAATGACTGCAGTTGGGAATATAGGTGACCCAGAAGATATGGTCAAGTGATGGAGCACAGTCCCAGGGCCCCGAGTGTCTGGATTCAGCTATGCCTGAAGCCAGCTACCTTGGTCTCTGCAGTTTCAGTGGCCAGTCAGCTGCCCACACCCACACCTTTTTTTGAATGAGCCAGTGTGAGCTGGATTTGTATCACTGGCTAACAAAGAAGTTCTATTATTTCTCCAATATCATGTGAGCCCTTCTTCCAGAGAGTCCCCCTTGCTTAACATCTAAGTATGTGGATGCAACCACTAGTGGATCCTGTGGATTTGGTGGAATCTGGTTGTCTCCACTGGGTCATTAGCATTGCTAAGGCTTCCCCAAGGTGCAGACCACGCCACTCTAAGGCACAATGTCCACGATGGACAGAATGCAACTGAGGTCAGCTCATGAAGACTCTCTGGGGGATTCAGAATTGCTGCGCAGCTTTCTGTTCCTCCTGTGAACCTCACAGCCTCCCCTGCTCCAGGCCCGCTGCTACGAACTCCCCACCAACTAGGCCCTATCTGCACACGGACACCAAGAGTGTACCCCCAAACCCACTTGGTCCCCATACTCGTACGGTTACTATTTCCATTCTACAGAAAATAAAAACAGGGCATTCTGTTGGCTTGTCCAAGGCCACACGGTTAGAAAGCAGCAGAGCCTGGACAAAGGACAATTGTCCCTGACTCACCACAGACAGGGTTCCAGAAGCGGCCCCTGTGGCCCCTGGCTGGCAAGCCTGTCTAAATTAGGTTCTCCCTGCCCCTGTTACACTCAACGCCGGCACTCCTGATCTGTTCTTTGCAGCGTGTGCTACCCTTCTCAATGATTTTATTTTATTGCTCTTAATCAAGCATCCTCTACCCAACACATGCCAGGTCCTGCCTGTTCCGTTTTGTGCTGATTCCCAGGGCCTGGCACATGGGCCCGGCTCTTACACCACTGGCTGAATGAATGAATTCATAACTATGCTCCCCAGATGCTCTCATCGCCACCTCACAGAAGAGGGAACCGAGGCGGGCGGCTGAGTGGGCTCCAATGAGTCCTGCCTCAAGTCCTGGGAATGCTCAGGTCTGCCCAGGAGGCTGGGGGGGGGGCAGGACCCCCAGTCCCAGCCCCTTCCACAGACTGTCGGGTCACCCCATGCCACTGCATCAGCTACCTGGGGCCTCCCAGTGCCATGAGCTGAGCAGCTCCCAGGCATCCCAAACCCTACAGTCCTGGATTAGGGGTTCCAAGCTAGCCGCTAGGCAAGACGGATGGGATGAATATATGGCAACAAACCCGTGGCTGTGGGCGCGCTGCTCCTCAAAAGGAGTAATGAATAAATGTGAACGGATGTGCAAGACTCGGCTCACATACTAATTACCTCCGCCGCCAGCCAGGCTCCCAGCAATGTTACTCATTCAGATGTACTTAAATACACGCACGAACGCACACACACACACACCCCCTGCAGAGGGGCCAGAAGCCTCCGGCAGGTGGTGAAGCAGCGGGCTCCGTTGCTTGGCGGGCCGGGGCCTGCAGAGGCTGGGAAGAATGCAGGCAGGATTCCTGCGTGAAGGACGCACTCCTGCCTGAAGGCCGCAAGCGGGCCCTGGCCTGCCCCTCCACATGCCAGCCCGAACTGCCTAATGAGACAGTGAGACCTTCTGGCTTCAAGTCCTGTCCCTGCCACTTGCTAGAGCCCCGTGACCCTCCTCCTACCCCCTACTGCCAACATAACCTTTCTGGCCTCAATGTCCTCATCTGCAAAACATAGGGTGGGGGGGGGGAATGAGGACAGGGCCCATCACATGGGGCCATGAGAATTAAAATGACTGATTAGGGCTTGGGATGGTGGTTAACAAGCAGTCAGCACATATGTAAAGAGCCTATTAAGTAAATAAAAAAGATTGGCGAATGCTCCCATGTCAGTGGGCTTTTCTGACTCTGCTTTTCCAGATGTGGGGGTTGCCACAGCACGCCCTGGCAGGGGCTCACTGGGGTCTTTGTCCACCATTAGTTTCCAGCCTTCCCTGCCACCCACAAAGCAGAGGTAGTTCCCTGGGGCTGTGAAGGGGTGATGCCTTGGGAAGGTTCTACTCTGGGAACCCCCACATTAGCACAATTCCCGAAGCATGTACTAGAAGTGAGATCTTCATTGTGAGGGTGGTTCCCCAGGGCGCCCAGGCCAACTCCCCCCCCCTCCCCATCCATCCTTGTAGCACTAGCCTCCTCTGTGAGAGGAGACACGTGGTGTCCGCAACACTCAGTCAAGCTTTGTTCCTGTGGTTGGAGCACAGACCCAAGGGGCAGATCAGAGGCATCTCCAGCCCAGGAACCCTAGAGGTGGGCGCAGGTGACAGCAGGAGGGACAGCCGGACACTCTATCAGTCTAAAACACGTGCAGGGCCGAGCACCAGGCCCAACACGCAGGGGCCACCAGGTCCCTGCTATTTAAAAGTCCATCAGAAGTCCCACTGTCCTGTGGGCTAGGTAAAGGCACAGAATTGGGCGAAGAGACCAGAACGCACGGGCTAAGCTGGAACTAGAAACCAATTCTCCCATCTCCTGACCCCAAGGCCTTCCCACTGTATCCCTGGTTTAACCCCACCCCCCAGGTCAGGCAGAAGGCCAGGAGGGGCTGCAGCCAGGCTCCCCACGCACCCCAGCATCACAGTCTGCCCCAGACCACTCCCACCATGGCCGCCAATGCATTTCCTGCTCCGGCCTGATTAAACTGTTACAAGTTTTCTGACACTAAGCTCTTTCCCAGGCCTGCAATCTCACCCTCTGGTGTCCTTTTCTAGTCACACCATCTCATAATCTTCATTTCTCAATGCTGTGTGGACCACCGACCTATTTGGGGGCCCTCACAGTGAATAACCTCACGGGTTAGTAAACAGGGTTGCCAGAACGCAGGCTCCCGGATCCATGAATATGCAAAGCGGCTCCAATCCAGTAAATAAAAGCAATCATTTAAATGCAAATTGCATCCTTGGCTGCCCCGTCCTGGGCTGACGGTTTCTTAGGGCTGTAATTCCCAGAGGAGAAAAGTGACTAACTCAGAACCCCAGGAAGTTCTGCAGGGAAGCTCTTATGTAGGTGTACGCTCTGGGTGGGGGATGGCAGAAGGGGCAAGAACTGTTTAAAAGTGGGGCGTGGATTTCAAAACCTAAGCCACTCCTCACAGGGGCTGGCCAGAGCCGGGGTCCCCAGGAGGGGGTCCGCAGCCCTTCAGGACACGGAGACCAGCTATAAGCCCCCGAGGCGGGCGGAAAGGGCTGCTTTCAGTCTCCATGTTGAAGTCCGGGGAGCTTCTACAAATCCCATCCCTTGGCTTCCCACCCCAAACCCTCCAAGGCTTCAATGGCCCAGGAAAATAAAACCAAAAATTCCTTCCACTGGCCCAAAAGATTGCGATCCGGCTGGTCTCAGCCATCTCCCCTCTCCCCCACCCCCATCTGCCTACGAGCTCCAGCTACAACGGCCTTTGTTCAGCTTCTCTGAGCTCTTTGCCACCTCCAGCCACCTCTGCCTGGCTCTGGCCCCTTGAAATCTCCCAGTGGCAGCCCCCCATCTTTCCCCGTTTTATTCAGTGATCACAACAGTCTTTTCTTCTGTACAAATACCCCTGCCACTTTCTTTCACATGACCCTGCCTTCCGTCCCCGGCAGCTTTCCTTCCTAATTAATTTACTTATTTGGAGCGGTTCGCGCAGCTCCCCACCCCAAGAGCAGGGGTCCTCACTTGGCCACCGGGGTGTCCCCGAGGCAGCGCCCCGGCAGCTGGCACACTTATTGAATCAGCCGCCAGCAAGGACTCTCGGCCTCTCTCTAACAAGACGCTCCTCTCCCACTGTGCCCCAAATGGCGACTCCTTCTCCCTTCCATCTTCTCAACTCAGCTGACCCCTTCCCTTTTCAGATGCAGACCCGGGAACAGATAAGAAACCGTTCGGGCTAGTCTGAACACAAGCCCCCCCCAGGGGCGCTCCCAACCCTCAGGTGCCGATTTGCATTTATTTACATGTCATTTGCATGCAGTTTCACTCAGATTCTGACTCCCCGAAAGCCCCCACCCCGGCGGAGAAAACTTCTGAACCAAGGTTCCAGGGCTGAAGTTCTCCCGCTCTCCGGCCAGTCCCTCCCCCACTTCTGTCTCTGCGGGAACCCCGCTTTTCCCGGTCTTCGCTCAGGTGCCCCCATCCTGGCGCAGTCTGGCAGCCAATGTGGCGCGTGGGCCGGGGCCCCGCCGGGGACGCCGCGGCCCGCCACACTCCAGGGGCCTTTGTCCGCGCTCCAAGGAGCCGCCCCCTTAACAACGGGGGACAGATGAGGAGGGGGGGTTGGCTAGGCCTGGGTGTGACTGGGCAGGGGCCGGGTGAGGAGGCACGGGCTGCGCTGGGGCCGTGCTCGGCGGCAAGGTCGGCGTCCCCCTCTCGGGCTGGTTAACCAGGTCCCCAGGGCCGAGGCGGGTGCAGCTGCCGTCAGCCCGGTTCCCTAGGGAGAGGGGACGCGGCACAGGCTCAGTCCTCACCCCTAGCCCGGCCCGAAGAGAAACGCCGACCACTATTGTAAGCAGCCGCTCCTTTTTGTCCCCCAGCCCAGCCCTCAGCTGCCTCTTTTCTCCCGCAGTGTCCCGCCCGTCCCCCCCAACCCTCGCCGCCCCGTCCTGAAGTCCGAGCCACAGTCGTCCTGGACCTCGGCCTCTAGCCCCTGCGGCAGGTGCTGCCGCTCACCCCCAAAGCCCGGCCCCTGCGACGGGGGTCTGTCTGCCTGTCTGTTTAGCCCCCGCGGGCTTACCACGAGGCCCCCCGCACCCCTAGAACAGCCTGCACCCCCCTCGCGGCGAGACACTCGGGCACGGTTGCACGCTCTCCCGTTTCGTCCACCCCCAGCTGCCCTTTACCTGTGGTCACCCCCAGACCTTCCGCAGAGACTTGGATCTCCGCTGGCCGGGACACACAGCCCTCCCCGCCCCCCAGCCCGCTCGCTGCAGCTCGGCTCCCGCCGCACTGAGGTCCTCCACCAAGATCCCCACCTCCCGCGGCCGACTAAGCCCAGAGCAGGGCTTTGAGAAGCACCAAAGCAGATCCCCATCCTCCCAAGTCCACGGCGGGAAAAGTTTCTGGGGTCTCCGCAGCGCCCTCCACCCCATCGGCGCGACTCACACTCACCGACCCCCGCGGTCCCGCAGCGCCGACGCTCCCGCTGGCCCTCGTCCCGAGTC